TACTGCAGTTACATTATTTTGTAGAATTTCAAGGAAAAAGAGGTAAAAAGCTCCCATTTTAATATTTTATTTTCAAGTAACGGGGATATACATATTGGAATTACACTGTTTTAATTTTCTTACACACTTAGTTTCTCAACATTTAGAAAATAGTACACTCCTAATAAAGACCTTTTTAACACTTGCCAAGATTCTTGATACCATATCATACCTAGCATGAGCTTATTAGATTTTGATGAACTTAACAGATATATCCTGTGAATTCTACTGTAAATGATGCACTTAAAAACTATCTTTAATACATCTTTTATCAGCTGTGCCTTACCAGCTGCCTAATACCTTCTTTTTGCTGTTAATAAAACTACAGTATTAAAAGCAGAACATTTACTAGTGTTGGACAAAATGTTCCCCAAATGGACCTAAGACATAATGCCTTGAATTTCACTTAATTAGGATTAATTCTTCCTTCTCAGATGTTGACATACACTTTCAATTCTGTAAAATATACAATCATAATCATTTCACAAATCACAAAATGAAATTACTAGTTTATCTATATATAACAACTCTCGAGCGTCCTTTTTAGTCTGTTATGTCTTTTTAAAACATTTTGAGATGATCTAGGAAGACAAAATTTGGCATGAGTATATAGTTCTTGTTCATGGTCAAAAGAGAAAAATCCCAAAATGTCCCAATTTTCAGTTTTATGTGGATTCCCTTCTGTCATACCAATCCTGTGTAATTTTAGCTCCACAAAGAGGGTGTGTCTTTAAGTGAACAACAAGTATAATTAATCATTTAATTAGTCTCAGAATATGAGAAAGTAGTCAACTTCAATGACTGGATAATTGTTTTAGTGGTTCCCAATTTCTGGCTTAAAAAAAAAAAATTTGATGGGGCACCTGGGTGGCTCAGTCGGTTAAGTGTCCGACTCTTGATGTCAGCTCAGGTCTTGATCTCAGAGTCATGAGTTCAAGCCCCACGTTGGGCTCTGTGCTGGGTGTGTAGCCTACTTAAAAAAGAAAACACAAAAAATTGAGTAGTTATCTGTTCAATCTTTGACAATAATTTACAATGTGAGATCACCATGTGATTTTGGCATACAACCTGGAGTTAAGTGACACCGCTATAACATGCCCTGGCACAGAAAGCTAATGCTGTCAGTGGTACTCAACTCTGCAACACGTCATCCTAGTGTGACAAAAAAAAGTTTAGAAACTAATGGCACATTTTATATGTTCTAACTAGTCCAAGCATACCAAAAAAGTAGATACTTTTGTTTCTTAACAGGTTTGCAAACTTTTTTTTTTTTTTCCACAAAGAACTAGAACCCTCTACTGCCTAGAAGGCATCCTCAATCTGAAAGTCTATCTCCTATGTAATAAGTTAAGAAATTTGGGGCCCAATGCAGGTGTTCAGGGTAAAAAAGTCATAGGAGTGGCATTTAAAAAAAACAAGCTTTGGGATTTTCAGAGCTAAGGAGGGGATTCACAGTTAGCTCAACTGGGAGGTATGCTAATAAACTGTGGGTGAATTATTCTCAGGATCTTCCAGAATGTGATCAAGATCTTGAGGATGAAACCCAAAGAAAGGAAGGCTTATTAGTGACAAAGGATAAACAAAGCTAACTGATTTAAGGCTGAGAGCCTAGGATGGATTTGAGAAGACGAGAGCTGGCTTTTAGCTCTATTTCAAAGTAGAGCTCTACAACCACAGTTTCCCAACTGTTGAAGATGAATTTGTGCCTCTTTGGGTCTCAGGCACTGTAACGTGGCTTTTATGGCTTGACCCACCCCATCTAGGGAGGTAGTATTTGCTTCCATCAGATGTATGGCTGATAGCAGGCAAAAGATACTCAGACTGTATGATTCCTTTTACAGAAATTTCAAAATAGGCAGAACTAATTTACTGTATTAGAAGTTAGGATGGTGGTTACCTCTGAGAAGGGAAAAGTGAGTAGGAAGAAGCCGGTAGTGACTACATGGCTGTACTCACTATGCAGTCCACTGAGCTGTATCCTTCTGATTTGTGCATTTTCTATAAGCATGTTATGCTTCCATAAAAAGTTCATTATTTTTAAAAATGCCATAGTCTTAGTCACTACATCATAGTTGCCGATAAATAGTATTTAACAAACATACATAGCTAGAAGAAATGGTAAAAATACTGAATGTATTTTTTTTAAGATTTTATTTATCAGAAAGAGAGAGAGAGAGAGAGAGCAAGCATGAGCAGAGGTAAGGACAGAGGGACAAGCAGGCCCCCTGCTGCACCAGGACCCTGAGATCATGACACGAGCCGAAGTCAGACGTTTAACAGAATGAGCCACCCAGGTGCCCCCGAAATACTGAATGTACTATAAAAAGAAAACCACTAAGGGGCACCTGGGTGGCTCAGCTGGTTAGGTGTCTGACTCTTGATTTTGGCTCAGGTCATGATCTCAGGGTCATGAGATCAAGCCCTGCCTCGGATTCTGAGCGAGTGGGGAGTCTGCTTGAAATCCTCCCTCTCCCCCACATGTGCGAGCACACACAGGAGTGCGACAGGCGCGCACTCTCTCTCTCAAAAATAAAATCTTCAAAAAAAAAAAACCCCACCGATTATGAATGCAAAATTACCTGCTTAACTCAAATATTTATTTCATACCCATCCAAAGTCTAAGAAATAAGATAAAATTTAAAAAAGTTATAAAAGGAAACAAAAGTTATTACACTCCAATTGAAGAGAGTGTTTTTTTTCCTTGTCCCTCATATTCCTCGCCCCTGTAATTTCTCCCCTCTGATATTTGCTTGTTTTCCACAATTCTTCTCTACCTCCTTTCCTACTTCCTCTAATCCACCAAGATCTTTCCCTAGGCAACTGGAGATTATGAAACGAGCATACTGGGAAGCTCCGTGGGGCAGCTCAGGACAATCTCGGCTCTTTCACATCTCTTATTTTCTCTTCTTGTCCTCAAATTCCACATTTTTTTCTGCCATCTCTTTTTCTCACACCTCTCCCTCTGCTTCTACCTCCATTCTTCTTCCTAATAATACCTCGAGTTTACTTGAAACACACACAATAGTTAAAGGTGATCAATATTTATTCTCATAAAATTATGTTTTCCTCTATAAATAGGACTGAAGCTATAAACACTGTGTAACAACACAGGTATGGCTGTTCAGATGAAAACATAACCAGTAGTTGTTTCTATGAGAAACACAAAGGAACTGATGCTTTTGCTCAACTATGTGATTCCCCACACGTCAGAACTATGCACTGGTTTTCAATCCTTTTTCTGGCCCTAAACATCTGAGGGATAAGACATTCCCATCTTGAACAGTAGTATCATGGTTAACTTTATGAGCCAATTTGGCTGGGCATCGTGCCCAGATAATTGGTCAAATATTATTCTGGGTGTTTCTGGGAAGGTGTTTTTTAGATGAGACTGACATTTAAATCAGTGGACTCTGAGTAAAGCAATATGTGGTGGGCCTCATCCAATCAGCTGAAGGCCTTAAAAGAACAAAGACTGATCTCCTCTGAGTAAGAAGGAATTCTGCTGGCAGACTGCCTTTGGACTTGAACTGCAACTCCTCTCTAGTTCTCCAGCCTGCTGGCCCAACCTACAGATTTTGGACTTAATAAGCCTCCATAATCACATGAGCCAATTCCTTACAATAAATCTCACCCGCTCCTCAACACACACGCCTTTTGGTTCTGTTTCTGTTTCTCTAGGGAACTCTAATACAAGTAAGTACGGTAGTGATGCTGAACTAGAGTAGAGGGGAATGTGAGGTCTAGTGAAACAGCAGAGGAGTTGGGGATGACAGATAATTTTTTAAAAGGCTTAATGTAGACCTCATGAATTACCTACTCAAAAGTCATCTGCTAGCCTTCTGCTATTACAGAGACTAGAATGCTAAAATGAATTTTCCAGCCTCCCTTGCCACTAAGGGGTAGCCACGTGATGGAGCCATGGCCAAATTCTTGAGAAGGGTTTCCTTCCTAAGTAAAAAGCTAAAGCCTAACTTGGAGAAAGCACTATGCTCTCACCGTTCTTCCTGTCTGGATTACTAAGTGCCTGGAAGAGCTCATCTTCAGATCTTGCAATTGATGCCACCATCCCCCAGGGTTCTATACCCTCAGCAAGAGCGCAAGTACACTGTGGCTTCTCAGGCCGACCTGGACTGAAAGCTGAGAAACTTAACCTACTTCACGTTGGTTATATAGAGAACTTTAAGATATATAGCTGTACACAGTCTCCACTCAATTTACCTGAGGTCCCACTCTGCAGTTGGAGGGACCTGGACTAGAAAACTTTCTGGAAAATAATAGTTATGAAGCATTGACGATTATAGCTATGAATTACTAAGGAAGGCTGTAGGATATCCTTTATTTTTTTTTTTAAAGATTTTATTTATTTATTCGACAGAGAGAGTCAGAGAGTATAAGCAGGGGGAGCAGCAGAGGGAGAGGGAGAAGCAGGCTTCCCGCCGAGCAGGGAGCCCAATGCAGGGCTTGATCCCAGGACCCTGAGATCATGACCTGAGCAGAAGGCAGACACCTAACCATCTGAGCCACCCAGGTGTCCCTGTATGATATCCTTTAAAAAGGGTCTTTGAAAATTTGGCCTGAATTGTGTTATGGCATTTCTCCTTAAAGAGGAGTTAGAACACAGCAGTGCTTTGTCAACATTTGCATTCCGAAATATACTAACGAATTTAAAATTTTACCTCAACACACTTTAAAATTTGTTAGAGTAGAGAACTAGAGTGTTACATAAAATCACTGTATTATAAAACCTCACTTACAAATCATTAAAAAGGAACTTATTGGCCAAGAAGATGAAAAATGCAAATGAAGTGCCAAATTACCTAACAAGCTTTTAAGTCAACAGTGTTCCATCTTTAAGGCTACTAATCATGCATCTCTAAAAATACTTTTTCTCCAGACCTACCCTACCTATAAAAAGAAAAATCAAGTGCTAGCAAATAATGACTTCAAAGTTCTGTGTTTACCTTTCTTTTCTCCAGTGTAGGGCACATAGTCTTCCCTGTCCTTATGCTCCAGTGCCTCCTTCTCCAGGTATGAAAGGAGGTGCTCTCTATCAAATGGCCCTGTGGCGGACTTTGACGTCTGGTTCTTCTGCCGGAACCCTGCAGGCAGAAGGGCATTCTGCCAAAGAGAATGAATCAGCCATTATGATCGCAAGAATGCCAACACTATATGCTTCCACAGACTTAAGAAAAATTATAGACCAGAATGTGATACAGACATTAAACACTTCATTAGAGGATTTTAGGGCAGCAATGCAAAAGTGTTCCACACACAGTTTTTCTTTATTGGGTACAATTCAATCACATTATTAAAATAAGCACATACACATTTTCTTCAGAAAGTATTCTACTAGAAGGAAACACCCTTTACTTTTTAAATGTCCTGGGTGGTAATAAAACGTTTCTTAATGATTAATAACTGCTCAGCATATATGCATATAAAGAAAATAATCCTACTACAAAAGAATTTTAAATGATATATACATTGTATTCCTTCATAATGATTTCTATTTCGGGGTAAAGACTTTTTCATACAAAAACATGTATGCTGTACAGTAAGGTATCAGGGCATTAATGTTCACTTGTTTGTGTTTAAACACACTGTGAAAGGTTCAACTTCTTTATGCATTTATGCATACATCAGTACTAGGATGTATTCGCGGCAACCACTGTCACTGCTACTCATGCACCAAGGCCCGCCGGGGTACTCACAGCAAGAGCTATATCCCTGGGTTTCCCTGTGGGTACAGTCTTTCTGAGTGCCTGGAGGGACTAATAGTGGGGAAGGAGGGAAGGCAATGGATTAGAGTTTTCTCTTACAAGAGAATTTTCTGAATTTTTACTAAGTCCAGGAATAACACGCAGTGACTAGAACACATGAACTCCATCTTTTTGCTCACTGAAAGGCAAAGTGGTGATACTGCTTTGTCTCACTATTCCTAGATATTCCTTTGCTTTGGAAATGGAAGGCAGCCTGAGAAGTCACACAAAAGGGCCAGTCTTTTGCAACACATCCCAAAGTTGGCAATAATGCTGATTCTCATGATGCTACAATTTTCATTATAAAGGGAGATCTTATATAGATAATAATAGGGAATGTACATTTTATAACTAGAAAATATAGCACTTCAAGGGGTGCCTGGGTGGCTCAGGTCATGATCCCAGGGTCCTGGGATCAAGCCCCAAGTCGTTGGGCTCCCTGCTCCGCAGGAAGCCTGCTTCTCCCTCCCCCACCCCCCCTGCTTGTGTTCCCTCTCTCCCTGCACTAAAAATGTTTTTATAACACAAAATTGTGTATGGGAACATAATAAAGAAACAAGATTTCTACCTACCAACTTTGAAATAGAGAGCTACACATGAAAAATCCACTCCCAATGAACCATCAAGTTCTACCCATTTTTACTTCCTAAAAAACTCATTCATCTGTTTACTTCCCTCTATCTCTAACACCCATTACTTTGGTCCAAGCTATGATCAGGCTGGCATGGAATATTACCTGAGCTTTCAACTGGTCTCCCTAGATCAGCTGATACTCCTCATCCCTCACTCCCACTCCATGATCTGTTACTCTAGCCTCACCTCATATACCTTCCCCATTCTAGCCACACTAGCCTTTGTTCCTCCCTGTGCTTGTCATACCTTCTTTCTACCAGAAGCCTTCTCTAGAATGCTCTGTCCACCATTTTTCAAAAAGATTTTTTATTTATTCATTTGAGAGAGCAAGAGCACCAGCAGGAAGGTAAGAGGAGAGGGACAAGCAGACTCCCCGCTGAGCAGGGTGCCTGACGCAAAGCTGTCCCAGGACCACGGGATCATGACCTGAGCCAAAGGCAGATGCTTAACCAATTGAACCACCTACGTGTCCCTTACTACTCATTTTTAAGACTGCAACTCCATTCCCCCAAGGGAAGCCTTTCCTGACCTCCCATTATATGCTTTTATATTAATATGGCATGATTATTTGATTAATGCCTACCTCTCCCCACTCCTACCAGCCTGCATCATGAGGGCAAAAACCACATTTGTTTTGCTTCCTCTTGTATTCCTAAGCCCCGCATAGCACCAGAATCTATTGGTTGCTCTCCAAATATTTATTGAATAAAGATTTGAGAATACTTTTATTTTTTTAAAGATTTTATTTGAGAGAAAGAAAGAGAGCACAAACAGGGGGAGCGGTAGAGGGAGAGGGTGAAGCAGACTCCCCACTGAACAGGAAGCCTGATGCAGGGCTCGATCCCAGGACCCCAAGATCATGACCCGAGCCAAAGGCAGGTGCTCAACCAACTGAGCCACCCAGGCACCCCTGAAAATACTTTTAAAGAAAAATGCTCATTAAGGCAAATTAATAAAAGTTATTTTCCATCACCACCAATTATGCATACTGCTCTTACATGGTGGTAGTGATGGAGTTGCACTATTCCCGTGCATGCTCAAGCCCATGTGAAACATGTAAGTTTTTTTTTTTTTTTAAGATTTTATTTATTTGACACAGAGAGATAGCGAGAGAGGGAACACAAGCAGGGGGAGTGGGAGAGGGAGAAGCAGGCTCCCCGCTGAGCAGGGAGCCCGATGTGGGGCTCAATCCCAGGACCCCGGGATCATGACCTGAGCCGAAGGCAGACACTTAACCAACTGAGCCACTCAGGCACCCCGAAACATGTAAGTTTTAAGTGATATGTCAGCTGGAATCCTGGCTCCTTAAATAGTTTCTGAACACAAGATAAATGAGAGGAAACTGGCTTTGGAGGCTATAAACCCATCAACCATGCTTTATCAGAAGTATACTTTAGTCAAGTTAATAGATCATAATTACTTAAGAAAAAGGTAAAATCTCATTAAAATGATTGCCACTAAAAAGTATATGTTTTTCCTTCATAGAATTTTGTTGTAATGATATATTCCAAGCCTTGGAAATGAAAACAGCTTTTGCCTAGGCTGGCTGGCTGTCTTTAGAGATGGGTGTTCTGAGAAAAGTAGTAAGTTGGCAAGTAAATATACTGAATGCAGCATAAGGAAAGTAAAATAGCCCTCCAAAATATAACAAGGAACTATATACAACCATCTGCTCTTATCTTCTGAGACTTTGTAAGTTACAGAGTTGTTTCTCGGCCTGAAGTAGCTGCTACTACCCTTGCTCTCTTTTCTCACCTCATCTTTCACTGGCACTCTTCCCCGAAATTTTACCCAACAAGTGGCATGCTGTCAATAAACATCACTGTTCTTCTAGTCTCAACTAACAGTATCTGAGGTTGGGGAGCTGGCAAAATATATCCAGAAGTTAGAACTCAAGCCTCCCCATACAAGAAGCAGGCCATGATTTTGCAAACGAGAAAAATAGAAACCATCAGCTTTTACACGTATAGCATAGGGCATGCGTTAATAGGGGCATCACTGCATTGGGAACAGAAAGACCATTAGCCTTTGCCAGGGAGCAATAAGGCAGTGAGGAATCCGCTCTCAGTTCTTTCCCTAATGGTAGTAATTGAGGCAAGTCACCTAACTTTTGTTTTCTATCTGTAAAACAGAGGGCAAGTGTTAGCTCAACGTTTCTCAAACGAGGTGCTCCCATAGGGGACAACTGGCAATGTCTGGAAACATTTTTTGTTGTCAGAACTAAGGAGAGGAAGTATTAATCATGTTTTTTATTTTTTGCATTTCATGATGCTTTGACATCTGGGGGCCTTGCTAATGTTAGAAAGAACTACCTCTCCAGGGGGCTGGCTAATTGCTGGGATAGCAAGTAACTCTCCCTACCCCCACCCAACAATGTGCTTTCCATATGAAAACCAACCAATCCAGAGCTCAAACCCCAACCACTTCCTTTATCTCTCTCACACCAAGCCAATATTCCACCCCCCCCACACACACCCTAAATCACCCAGAACCAGGTAACTGGACAACTGGAGACTACTCCTATGGCCCAAAGCCCACTGAAATTACTCAAATTATCTAACCCTAAACTTGCTCAAACTTGCCAACCCTTCCTTCCCTCATAAGCCACAAGAAAGGTTCTGGGCCACACTTGCTCCTTGCTTCTTCTGCTTCCTGACCAACCCAGGTGCTTTCCCAGGGGGCCCTGTGTGCTTCCTGCTCTTGGGGACCATAAGTATTAAACTCTTTCTCCAGGTCTGTAATCTTACCACCGCTAATTAAAACAAAATCCCACGTCCATTTTTAAACAGGGGGGTGTGCTACTGGCACATAGTGAGTGAGATCAGGATGCTACTAAATAACTTAAACACACAGGATAACCCCCATAACAAAGAACTATCCAGCCACAAATGTCAAGTGTCAAGGTTAAGAAACTCTGGGATAGATGAGCTCTTCCGTTCCTGCAGTTCTACAACCACTTGATTCAAACAGGTCTAATGGGGTGAACTGCCTGTAGAAGATATTGCTGTGACATGATCAGTACTGTTATCCTGAGTTATCCCCCAGACTCAGGAGCACCGCAAACTTTTCCTTGTGATAACAATTACAGTTAAGGGTTTTGATCTATGGTATAGACACATTATTGAAGTGCTGAAGTAATGCTGAGAAAAGGAGTATAATTCTCAATAAAAATTCAAACACATTCCAGCAAGAAATAAATGTGTTGTAGTAATAAGAACAATTTTATAAAACAAACTCTACCTCAATTCTTAAAAAGCACTAAAAATCAATGTCTCAACATAAAGAAACACGTAGTAAAAAGAAGCCTAGCAAATAACCCTTACCTTCAGGTTAAGTAGCCATAACCTTTGGGCTCTCTCCCTTCAGTGACTAACTCCCTCCCCCCCCACCTACCAGGGAATAACAATTAACGTGTCAAGGGGCTCTACCTTAGCCTTGTGTAATTTATAAGACAAATAACACCCACTCTGCAAATTAAAACATTTATACATATATTCAGGTCTGCTCCACATGGATTGCAGTATTGCTGAGTACTTAGATCTAATCTACTAATGACTAGAAACTTACTCAATTTGGTCAACATGTTTAAGAAAGGTAACAATTAGATTTAAGGTCACAAAGAACCTTCTAGAGACACTCTACACAGGGCCATCATAGTACAGAGGCTCTGAAGAGACACAGAGGTTGGCATACATCAAAGAGCTTCATTATACCAAAAACGCTCCTCCCTGCCCAGAGAGTTTAAAAAAATTTTTTTTTAAATTTTATTTGAGAGGGAGAGAGAGAGAGAGAGAGCAAGCGAGAGCACAAGAGCAGGGGGAGGGAGAAGCAGACTCTCTGCTGGGCAGGGAACCTGATGTGGAACTCAATGCCAGGACCCTGGGATCATGACCTGAGCTGAAGGCATACGCTTAACTGACTGAGCCACCCAGGCGCCCGAGAAAAAATTTCTTACAGGATATACTTCAGAAATTTGAGAGTAAGGGTGTGGTGAAAACAGTTCAGAACAGGCATGTCAGTGGAGCCATGGGGGCAGAAGTGGGGGAACTGAGAAGAGGCAAAAAGTTCATTTGGATAAAGAGAGAATGGCAGGGGCAGGGAGTGCCAGAGAAAAGTCATGGGAAAGATAACTGCTCAAAAGAAGTTACTTCATTTCAAAGGGTTTGAAAAGTTATTTCATTACCACCTACCTCAGGGTCAAGGTCATCCAGAACAGTTTCCAGTTGTTTCAGTTCTGTTTCTGATAGATTCCCAAGGAGCTCATCTTCATCTAGGTCCTTGTACTTTTCTAAGTCCTTCCGGAATGGTAGTGCCATGATTTGCAGTATAGGAAGTCACTTAATTTTTGCTATGCAGTATAGTCAGGAGTGATTTCTACTTTTTTTTAAAGCTATAGAAAGAACAAACACACATTTCAAATATTAAGTCATCTCCACCTACTTAGATCTATTATTAGGTTGAGTGAAATGTAATTTCCATGGGGTGCCTGGGTGGCTCAGTCATTAAGCATCTGGCTCAGATCATGATCCCAGGGTCCTGGGATCAAGCCCTGCATTGGGCTCCCTTCTCTGCGGGAAGCCTGCTTCTCCCTCTCCCACTCCCCCTGCTTGTGTTCCCTCTCCCGCTGTGTCTCTCTCTGTCAAATAAATAAATAAAATCTTAAAAAAAAAAAAAAGAAATGTAATTTCCAGCTGTCATATATTCTTTGGCCATCTATCACACACTACCCTTGTCTATGGATCAATGTCCTTACCTTTTATTTTTTGTTGATGAAAAACAAAATCAACGGGGAAAAATAGGGGGAGGAGAGAATATAAAATTCAATCTATAAAATAGCCATTTGGTAGAATTTAGAATTTCTGATAACTGAGTTTTAGGAGGAAAGAACTCAACTCAATAAAATTTTTCCCATCAGTGACTTTCAAATTATTGCTCCCAGAGTACTTTGCTTAAGCACATTATGTTTAAGACACATTTGTTTTACTGTAAATTGTGTAGAACATTATTTTCTGATTCAATAAGGGTGGATATTAATATACTCCCCCAGTGAGGAGTGGCCAGTTGCCGCTGGAAAAAAAAATTGGTTTTGAAAAGGTACATCAAAAAATTTTTTGGAAAGGTGTTTTTAAAGGAAAAAAATGCAGCGTTTTGAAAATGTTTCCATAAAATACTCCAAACCACGCTGGGATATGTCACCCACTGATTGGCAAGGGTGGTCACAAGGGTCTCATTATAGGAAAAGACCTTTGCCCTTTCTTCACCGTGTGAATCTTTCCTAAATGAAGTAAAGCTCAACAAGCAGCCTCTTCCCAGGTCCAGCAGAACTGTTCCAAAGGAAAAGATAGTTCGAATAAATCCCACAAAACGTGTGAAGTAAAAATAAAGTATTTCTGTAAGTTCTAGCCGTAAACGTGGATCATATGTTTCATAAAATGTTCCTAATGGGAACAAGAAATAATCCTTAGACTTAGTGATTTGGCTCAATTTTTCTTGGCTGCAAAACACCCAGTATTTCAAAGTCTGGATAGATTATCTTTACTACTCCTTTCTCCCAAGTTTTTCCAACTTAATATTTAGACAAATATATTTTCCTCCTCAAACCAGTAACAGTTTATGGATCCTTTTACGTGTTTTCATCTCCTAAGAATAAAGGAAGGTTCACCACAGGGGTCTGTCAGCTCCTGACCTGACTAGCAGCCACCTGGGTCCAATAACAAACAAATTAACAGAACTATACTGATGCAGATGTTAAACTGCAGGCATTTTGTGTAACTGCCTGAGACAGGTCTGGCTTCCATCTGCTCTACTTGGCATCTCACCTGGTTTAGCAATTACCCTGGATTTTTTCAGGGTTTTTTTTGTTTGTTTGTTTTGTTTTTTAAAGATATTAGTTATTTATTTGACAGAGAGAGACACATTGAGAGAGGGAACACAAGCAGGGGGAGTGGGAGAAGGAGAAGCAGGCTTCCCGCGGAGAAGGGAGCCCAATGCGGGGCTCGATCCCAGGACCCTGGGATCATGATCTGAGCTGAAGGCAGATGCTTAACGACTGAGCCACCCAGGCGCCCCACAGGGTTTTGGGTTTTTTTTTTGGAACAAATTACTATCATTGTTGTCTTTACTAAGTTTGGTAAATCTCCACTTGACACTTCCAACTTTTAAGATACTTAAGCTTACGAAGTATCTTCAGAGTATATTTTCTCAATTAAAAATAATACACTCTGGGGCGCCTGGGTGGCTCAGTTGGTTAAGCGACTGCCTTCGGCTCAGGTCATGATCCTGGAGTCCCGGGATCAAGTCCCACATCGGGCTCCCTGCTCAGCAGGGAGTCTGCTTCTCCCTCTCACCGTCCTCCCTCTCATGCTCTCTCTCAAATAAATAAAACCTTTAAAAAAAATAAAAAATGATACACTCTGCAGAGAAGATTCAATAGAAGGTATAAACACTTTCAAATATATTAACCATCAAATGCAATTTTAAAGAAAGTAGCAGGCAATTTTAGGGGGGAAAATAAAAATTAGGAATATTTGGAAAAAACAGTCCTTTCATAAAAATGCCAATGACATGGTATTTGAGACAGATTAGGGTAAGAAATTGATAAAAGTATATGAACACATACCAAGAGTAATTATTTAGCATATGCTGTTTTTTAATACTTAGGCAGTCATTATAAAAAAGTTTTTAATGTGGTTGGATAGAACTTATTTTTGAGATTTACAGTATATAATAAAGCCAATCTCTTAGTCAATAAATATTTCTAAAAAAATACTAATTATTTTGAGCATCCTCTCCCTTCACTCTCAAAAGTGTTCCAGTATAGGCCATAAATTCAATAGTCATCCTACCAGTAAGGCACTATAATGGACAATATGACAGGACTGAGATATTAGAGGCTAAGGCAATGTTGTGTCACCCAGGTTCTATAGGTTTGGAACACAACAGTCCTTGGAATTGACTAAATAGCTTCCTCCAACAGATTGCTCTTTATCTCAGAGTAAACTCTGTCACATAAAGATTGTTTATAGTATGGCTTATAGAATAATAAAATGAACACCCACGAATGCATTGTCCAGCTTCAGAAAGAGAAAATTGCAAGGACTCACATGTTCCCCTTTCCAGTTGCATCTCCTTCCCCCAGTGAAGTAGCTACTGGACTGTATTTTGAATTAACCATTCTCTTGCTTTCTCTACAGTTTTACATTACATGTACATGTCCTTAACAGATTTAGGTTTGTTCTTTTTTTTTTTGCACTTTATACAAATGGACTCCCATAGCATATATCTTTTGGTGACTTGCTCTTTTCACTCAACATTGTTTTGAGTTCATGCTTAAAGCTGTACTTCTTTCATTTTTGTATAGTATTTCATTGTATAAATGAACACTTGACTGAACCTGTAGTCTTTCCCCTCTGTTTTTCTGCTATAAACAATCTTGTTACCTATTTCCTGGTATACATGCGCAAGAGTTTCTCCAAGTTATTGAAACCTAGGAATGGAATGGCTGGGGAAAGGATATGGTAATACTCAACTTTGCTAGGTAATGTTAAACTATTTTCAAAGTGGTTCTATCAATTTACATTCCTAGAAAATTCAGTGCATGACAATTCATGTTGCTCATCCTTGCTAACAGGTTAGCTGTTAGCTAATTGTTGGTCTTAATGGTTCCTTATCTATGTTGCCATTATCCTTGTATATGCCTCCATTTTAACCACAGATTATATACCTAAGTATCTTCAAAACTTAAGGGTATAACTGATATTTATCAACAATGGTAAGAGATGGGTTTCCCAAAGAAGCAGATAGAATAATTTACTACTGAATGGTGGTAACATAACTAAAGAAGTCAGTAAGCATGCAGGTGTAAGAAAATGGGGGTCATCAAGCAAGATCTGGCCATGTTCATTAAGCACAAGGGAGGCACGGTGTCCTGACCAGCAGATGTGACTGGCTCACTCCCATTGCAATTACAGTGCTGGTAAGGAGAAGCAGCATCAGGCAACCAAAGCCTGATGTCATTTGACATTTACATCACCCAATTACTTCCCTTTATTCTTCTCCATGATCACCAAGTAATCTTCTCATTAAAACTTGGCTATTCACACAGCTTTCCTCACTGTAAATTACTAAACTGGTATTTTGGCTTATGTACCAATGTACTTTTAAGATATTAGGTACCTACTGGTGCTGAGATCAGGTCTCTATAAAAGTAAAGCTGAGGACCACCATGTGAAATCCTAAGCATGGACTGGCTGGCCAGCAACTCCTAAAGATACCTATCTCATGTCAAACCAACAGTAACACTGTATTAGAAGTCCTCATTCGTCTGTCTTCCTTGCTAGACACTGTAAGCCCCTGAAGAGCAGACATTCCCTCCTATTATCTCATTCCTTCTGGGTTGCCATCACCAGGGACAGTACCTGATAGTAGGTAATTAAGCCAAATTTGACTGAATTGGATCATATATCGTCTCCCTTTCCCTTTTTTGGTAGTTCCCTCTTCCTCGCCAGATATCTAGTGGCCCTCTTGCTCCCTAACTCTACTCTCCTTATCGCAATTAAAAAAGCACTGATAATTAGTCTTTGATACTTCTGTTAATCCTGTGCAGCCTCTGCATTACTCCTCTTCTCTTCCCTCAGTGTCAACCCATTTTGGCTTGATATTCAGAGTTCTCCACTGTCTAATATTCCCCAGTTAAAACAGAACACATCTGATTGTCAGTCATCAGAGCTCTGGAATTAAATATAAACCCTGATGAAAATTTGATTTTCTTTTGGGTAAAGAAATGAGTTTCCTTCCCAGGAGGCACCAAGCCTCACTCTTCAGCCTACTAGGCTCAAGACTGTCTGTCTTTTCCTCACTGGCTTCTCCTAGGACCCCTGGGTACTGAACCAAGCTGACCTACCATATCAAAGTTTTCTCTCAAGATCCCAGATGAATATTTGTTTTCCAATATATGTGCTGTTCATTCAACAAATATTTTTGAGCATCCTCTGTACGAGGAATTGACTTGTTCCAGACAACAGGCATATACAGTATACAACACAGAAAAGTTCCTTGCTCTAATTTATTTTGAAGGTGGCATACAGACAAAAAATGACAGACAAAGGAACAAGATAATATCAGATAGCAATAAATACTAGAGGAAAAACCCCAGGACAGTTTGCTATGGGGGAGATGAAGGCCGGGAAGGTTACTGTAAGTGGTTCAGAAAGACTGTTCTGACTTTTGAGCCAGGACCAAAAGGTCCCTACCAGCTCTCCCAGTCTAGGACTCTGCTATCTAGGTGGTAAACAACAGCTGTAGGGTTATAGCTGTGGAGATGGAGAGAAGTGGATAAATGTGTGACATATTTTGGAAGCAAAGCTAAAAGGACTTGGGCACAGATTGGTT